TGCGTATTTCTCCAGTTCGTCACCTGGTATTGTGGAGGCAACAAATTGGTAGAATGGTTTGGCAAGCGGCGTTTGGTGAAGGATCTGCAAGCTGCCAACATGAAGACCGACACCTTCTTCATTTTGTATGTGGATCAAGGACAGATAAAGGCCAAAGTCAAACCTGCTGTTGTAGAAGTAAGACTTCCTCGTTCTTCTCCCCTGCACTTCGATCCCTATCTACCCTAGCACACTATGCACACAGAATGGATGCGGTAAACATGTCATCTATTTAATGTCCTCTCTTTTCACATCGCTAAATGGACTCAGATAATCGAAGCGCTACAGGGATATAAAACCTGCACGCGCGAATACAGAGAACTTCTGAACATGATCCAGCAAGACATGTTAGTTGTGCAGCAACAAGCACCCACACAAGAGGATAACAATACATCAAAATCCCAAGAGGCACTCTCTTCGAATATACATAGTCGAACTCGGTTGGGTGGTGTTCGAAGAAAGAGCTGCGGAGATATCTGGCGTAGAATAGGTGATATTGAGTCTATTCGCGACCAAGAAGAAGGATTAACGCGGATCGACACGTTTGTACCGGCATCACCTGTTGCCGAGAGTCACTACATGTGGTCTTCGAAGACTCATCTGGCTAGTGCGATGAATGCACTTGAGATATCTTGACGTGGATGAGCAACCACGTGGCAGTTTCATCAGTACACGTGTTGTTGTGGTTGACAATCAACCATACTCGATTGTACCCCATAGATTCCATATCGAGAACCGAAACCCAAGTCCACGATAGTCGACTACCACTCTTCGAATGCCGTGCCATATCAGAGACTTAGTTATTCCTCTATCCACTTCGTTAGACTACGAATAACACGCCGATGCAAGACCCGAGTCGTGGCCGCCACACCCTCAATCGTTCCTGTAAGGATCACTCAAGCGCACGGAACTTGGCTGGTAAGCCACTGGCCACCCATCACCTGACATGCTCGGTCATACTTCCTCGCATCAGATCAAATCCAACACAGCAACCAGGATATCAACCTTGCATTGCGGAACATGGTGCACCGTCATCCCAGACGCAACGTCGTATCCCCGATCATATGGATATGAAGTCATGAATCTTGTCTTCACATTCCATGAAGAACCACCGAGAAATACACTTACCAAGTCCACACTCCGTTTGTAAAATTACCATGTTCGCATGATTGTGTTATATACCCCAATCTCAAATTCGATATTTAATCCCAAACGATTTCATTTTTTCCACATCAATTAAATCTCGAACGCAAGAAGAATTTCATAAAACAAAGGCACAGTAGTAAGCAAATGACAAACTAATGTCTAATTCAAAAATCAACTTTGTTTACATCTATTCATATACTCCATAACATGATCATCCCATCCATCTATACTCTCCCACTTTCTCAATGCTACAACAGCCTCAACACCTCTCACCTCCACTCTTCTCACAATCTTGCATCAAATCTAATGCTCATGTCCATGATGCTCATGTCCCACGCCTTTATCCCCAAAGTCCACCTTCCACCCCCTCGTAACAAAAACGCGAGGATCCCTCACAACTGCAAACGCCGCCTTCTTGCCCTGCGCAGGATGGAATTCCAGAGGCACGGATTTCTTCCGACGAGTCTCCTTCTCGCCCTCCTGCATAACAACAACCTCCTCCTTGTCCTTCCAAGCCTTGGGTGCACCGACGATGATAATCTTTTCAACGCGGACATTCTCCATAGTCTTGAGGTACTTCTCGCACTTGACGGTGCGCTGGTTAGTGTCGAGGTTGGAGGAGGTGAGGACTTGGCGGGCGCCGTCGAAGGAGAAGCGGCGGTGAATGAAAGCACCCATTTCGTAGTCGAAGGTTTCGCCGTCGTCGAGGTAGAGGGTTCCTACAGCATTGCCGTCTTTGTCGAGGTTGACGACGAGGGTGAAGGGGTCGTATCTCATGAGGCCAGATGAGCGGCGGGGACGGTCGCGGCGGGGGATGATGTTGCCGCCTTGCATGAGGAGAGGGATCTTTTCGAGAGGGGCGGGGACGGTGTGGTGGCCTTTACCGCTGTAGATGGTGTAGTCGAAGTAGTCATAGTAAGGCTGCTCATCTGCAATGTAGACAGAGACGCTGTCAGCGCCCTCCTTTGTAACTGGCTTGGCAAGAAGCCCGGTGGAGCCAATGTAAAGCTGGTCATCAACCTCAAAGCCAGCCTCGTCATCCGGATGAACCCAGAAGTTCGGACGGATGATTGGAGCACCAGTTACGTGAGCTTCACGGAAAGCAGTGTACCAAGCAGGGAGCAGCTGGTACCGCAGGCGAAGGGCTTGGGTGATGATCTCAGTGTATGGTGACCCAGCAATGTAGGGCTCACGACGACGGGTGTCAATGTGAGCATGACCACGGAAGAATGGGTAGTATATACCCGCCTGGTACCATCGGGTCAACAATTCCTTGCTGGGATTACCGAAGAAACCTCCGACATCTGCACCTCCGAAGGGGAAGCCAGAGATACCCTGGTTAAGAACCATGGGAATAGAGGCCTCAAGGTGAGGCCAGTCTGCCTGGTTGTCACCAGTCCACATGGCTGCAGAGCGCTGACTGCCAGAATAGAAGGCACGGGTGAGAACAAATGGACGACGGAGCTCACCCTTCTTACGCTCCGTGATGGCTTGGTATGTCGCATTGTGGAAGGTCATGCCGTTGATGTTGTGTACGTCGCGGTGCTCCCAGTTGCCATGGTGAAGGTTGTCCTTGGGCATAGTAGTCTCAGGGCCGTTGAACACGGATGGCTCGTTCATGTCATTCCAGATGAAGGTGTTGGGAGCGGTCCCCTTGAACTTGTCATACTTGAACAAAGTCTTCCACCACTCAACAGCAGCCGGGTTAAAGCAGTCGACCCACATGGAAGAGCCAGGCCAACACCATCCATCGTAATGGTTGCCATCCTTGTTCTTGACAGCTAGGTCCTTCTTCTTGAGTTCATCGATCACCGGGTAGTCATTGGTATTCTTGATATGAGGATCAATAATAGCAACGAGCTTTCTTTCACGCTTGTCAAGCTGTTGTAGCATTCCATCGGGATTGGGGAAGGTAAGAGGGTCCCAAGTGAAGTACTTCTTCTCCTGTGTGTATTCAATGTCAAGCCAGATGACATCGTATGGGATGTTGAACTTGTCAAATCTTCGGTCGACATCCTTGACGTCTTCATCGGTGACGTAGTTCCATCGGCACTGATGATAGGCAATGGCAAAAGACTGTGGCATGGCAGTGTAGCCGGTGAGCTCACCGTATTGGCGAGTGAGATCCTGAGGCGTTGGGCCAAGGAAGACAAAGACGTCCAACAAACCACTCTCAGACATCCAGTGAGTTTGTGTGTCAGTGTGACCCTCAACACCAAGGGCTAGAGGGTTCACAGTGTTTCTCTTCTTGGTGACATCAATCCAGGTCTCGGCAGCATTTAGCCAGAAGACACCGACGGTTGAGCCCTTGCGATGGGCTTGCATGAAGGGAATGGCGCCATAGAGAGTCATAGGGCTGTCCATCTCGTATTCAAAGACATCGGCATTATACAGACGGTATGGCTCAGTGTAAGCGTTGTCGCCGCCTCTGTTACATGTCAGTTATAATTGGTGAGGGCTCGTCGTCAGTACGTACCGTGTAGTCTTGAGCGACAATCTTGTTGCGTGCTCAGGAATACCAAATACATGTGCGTAACCTGGGAAAGAGATATCGAGTGCCACAGCCTCAGGGCCTCTGGGCTTGCTATCGGTGTTGCCACCGAAGCTCTCTTCCCACCATGTACTCTCGTCTTCGCCGGGTTGCTCAACCTTCTTCTCTTCTTCTTTGGCTTCTTCTTTGGCTTCTTCCCCTTCCTTCTTTTCTTCGACAGGCTTCTCGATCTTTGGTCTCCAGTGCTCCACGTTCATGTAACCACGCTCGTTGAACTTGACCTGGGTCTCTCCTTCCCTCTGGAACTCGATGCCGAATGGTGCATGTCGAATGACAGCTTGGTGTCTTCCACCTTTGCCGTAGACGACCTTGGTGTATCCTTGCTCGGCATCTGGACTGAATGCAGCACCGGTCGAAGGAGTCAGTCCTCCAACGAGAGCCCATTTGGAGGCTTCATTGTATCGTTCCTTCCTTGCTTTGCTGTCGTGACGGAGCTCGATGTTACCCTTGGCCCTCTTTTCCTCATCGAGGGTAACGCGTGCGACACCAGTCTCGAGGAAAGTAACAGTAAGCGGCAGACGAACTTTCTCCTCGCCTTCTTTCACCGTCTTGAGGACGACAGCATCCAATTGACCGTTGTTGAAGGTTATCGAGGCAGGGTCGAGCACGTAGGGGGAGCTCCAGGAGCTTGATGCAGCGACGTCATCGGCAAACTGGCGATTTCGCTTGCAAAAGCCAGATTGATCGCATGTTTTGAAGTTTTCGTGCTTGACCGAGACTGCAGCCTGTCAGCATACCATTCTTTTCGCTGTATTCATATACCAAGAAGATGACGCTGCCAGCCACTGCTGGGTAGTCACAGAGAGCTGCGGTGAGCTACATACCAGCTGTCCCAAAGAAGCAACACACAACAACTAGCAGTAGAAACACAGCCGTCCACCGGGGAGGCCGCTCCCGTAGATTGATCATGTCAGGCAGCTCTTGAGGATGAATTCAGAAGCCCGCCTGGAATGCCATTCACTCAAGCCAATCCTCAACACTCAAGATGCCATGTGGACTTTGAGACGACGCCAAGCTCAGGGTCCAGTGCTTTTGCACAAATCAGGCATAACTTTATGCAACATTACCCCACTAGACAACGAAGGCCGCAGCAACCCCCCCTACCCCCACCTCTCAAAAAATCCAGCTCCATCTCGGTGCCTCTTTCTCTCCTTTAACCTCCACCTCTATCCAAGTATGCCTAGCCCACCTGCCATTGAGCTATTGACCGAGGTCTGAAGACTAATTCCATTGACAGAACACCAAACACCACACTATCTCCACAATGACTACCGAGCAGACGTACGTTGACACTCTCAAGAGCAAGAGCTGCTCAGGGGCGGTGAACAGCATGCTGACAGAAGACATAGCTTCATCGCTGTCAAGCCTGATGGCGTCCAGGTACGTAACAGCTAAACTCCGTCTACAATTGCTCCATTGCACTCCTGCCGCTTGCAATTCAATTGCTGTGGCAGCCTGAGATGATGGCTGGCAGAGCTTTCCAAAAAAAAGCAAAACAAACAACTAACATGCTCAACAGCGTGGCCTCATTGGTCCCATCATCACCCGCTTCGAGAACCGCGGCTTCAAGCTCGCCGGTATCAAGATGGTCCAGCCCTCCAAGGAGCACCTCGAGAAGCACTACGAGGACCTCAAGGAGAAGCCCTTCTTCCCCGGTCTCATTGCCTGTAAGTCTCTCTCTTCAGCCCAACTAGCGACCAATTGCGTCACTACCGCTCTCAACAATCGAGCCACGCGCTAACACGTTCCAGACATGAGCTCCGGCCCCATCTGCGCCATGGTCTGGGAGGGCCGTGACGCCGTCAAGACCGGCCGCTCCATCCTTGGTGCCACCAACCCCCTTGCCTCTGCCCCCGGCACCATCCGTGGTGACTACGCCCTCGATGTCGGCCGCAACGTCTGCCACGGCTCCGACTCTGTCGAGAACGGCAAGAAGGAGATCTCCCTCTGGTTCAAGGACGGCGAGGTCCAGAGCTGGAAGAGCGCTCAGCACGACTGGGTCTACGAGAAGTAAATGCCTTGACAACTAAGCTGTGAGGGCATTGGGCGACTTAGTAACTACAAAGACGTGGCGAAGAGCTAGTTCGTGTCTTGCGGTCTCGATGCCGCAAAACTGCGAGCTGGCCTAGTAGTTGTGACTTCTCAGTGAAAGGATGCTCTAAGCTTTTCATGGGATAGACGTGGGGCTATGAGATATGACCGCATGACAAAAAGGATACAAGTAGAAACCAATGAGACACATGAATGATCTCAAAGCACTTGATTGTCGATTGTGATGTCAATTGGACTATGTACGTTGGCGTTTACATATTACTTCTGATCCTAAGGTACTACAGTGACATTAAGCACCTATGCATCCGCACTGCCTCCGGCAGCCCCCTTTGCCTTATCCCTACTCCTAGTCTTTACTTGACTCTCTTCCTTCTCCTGTAACTCTTGCTTAACCTTATTCTCATACCAGGCCCTCAGCCTCTCTACCTCGCGCCACTCGCCCTCACCACGCTCAACCTCTGGCCCTTTAACCTCCTCTCTCGCCTTCAACTCCCCAAACATCCCCTCTTCTGCCCCCGAACCTGGCTTTCCCCACTGCCAAACACACCACGCGCTCTCATCCGCACTCACCAGTGCCGGATGCCGATTCAACGACTTCACCGCAAACGCCCTTAGCAACACTACATCGCCCACGCCTGCTTCCGGTAGTGCCTCTCGGTACGCACGAAAGCACTGAACGGTCATTGTCGCGGGCCAGGCACTCGCATCCGTGATATGCAAAGTCGTGTTCCAGTGCTTGGGCCCCTTTTTCGCTTTTTCGCTTGCCGTCGTGGCGGAGGTGACGAGGGCGAGGATGTCTGGGTTTGCGGATGAGTGGAATTGGGAGGAGCGGTTGAGGAAGTAGGGGAGGTCTTTGAGGGGGGTGTAGTAGGAGAGGGGGGTTGAGAGGCCGATTGAGGGGGATTCTTGTGTGGCCTCGGAGGGGTCGGGTTTTGAGGTGGGTTGTTCAATCAGAGTTGGGGATAAAGAGGTCGATGTCGTGTCTGTGGCTGCTTTGTTGTGGCCAGGTGTGGTTTTGGTCGTTGGTGACTTTTGCGCGTTGGGTGACGCGGATGTAGTAGCCTCCATGTCAACATCTTGCTGGGAAGAACGGAGATTGGTGGATGTCGCCTGGGTGGGTTGGGGTGTTAATAACGAGTCCTGTCCTGCGGGCGCAGCGACAAAGCCTGACTGCGCTTCATTGGTAGTTTGCTGAGTTGCGTCCGGAGTCATGAGCCTTTGCCTTTGTAAAGCTGCTTGTGAATCGAGCGTAGAGCTGCGCATGGACTCTCCAGCCTCGACTGTAGATGTTTGTGACAGGCCTTCACTTTCCTCCCGTTGTGACTTCTCCTCAGGCTTTAGATCCGCCTCACTAACCTCTTCGCTCTCCTGACGCTCAGAGATATTGTATGCATTCCTTCTTGTTCTCCGCACACTGCGAGGACTCTGAGTGACCAGCTTGATAGGTCCTTTTGAGCGCAGCCGCCTGCTGGGACTTCCAGATTCAGATGGTGCAGCTTGACTGTTTTGAGTCTCGACAACTGCCTTTGGTGCAGGCTTCTTTCGTCCCGTCTTGGTCTTCGACTTTGGTTTGGACTCTGGATCAGTACCCGAGGGATATTCAGTAACCACATCATCTTCTCTACTAGGAGCATCGCGTTTCATAGGACTGCCAAAGTCCGATTTCTGTGCCTCAGTCAAGCCTTCTAATGTGCGTGCAGGCGACGCGGAATATTCGGTGTGAGTGTTCCGCTCAGCCCAGTCTTTGACAAGAACATCATTCATATGTCCATTCTCGGATGCATTTTGAACTTGTGACAATTCGAACTTGGGAGATGATGGGCCATCCCTCTCTTTTCGAGAACGAGCTGCAGCGAACTCTTGTTTCAAGCTTCTCTGCAACGATTTACGCGGGCTTTCGCGGACAGTAGTAGAAATATGAGCTGGAATGTTCTTCTCTGGAGACAAAAAGTCTGACCTGGTTTTAATGCTGTTTGGCGAGGCCTGTGTAGCTCCCTGTGATGGAGAATTTGCTGAACGCGCGCGTATGCGAGGAGAAGAAATGACCGAGCGAGCGATGGAACTCACAGAACCCCGAGACCTTGTCGAGCGCGTGGTACGAACGGAGCCAGGCACCTCATCTTGTACCGATGGAGTTTGAGCTTTGGCCTTGGATCTTGTGTTCCTAGCCGGTACAGTATGTGGCGTATCCGCAGTCTGTACTTCATCTATGTCGTGGCCCTGTCCGGCTTCGATCATAGACAGTTCGTTGGTAGACAAATTAGGAACCTCAGATACCACCGAAGCCTTGGAGTGGTCAGTTTGTGAATCGAAATGGTCTTCTATCCATTGGTCTCCCATAACCGAACCTTGCTGTGTTTGGGTATATTGTTCATCCTGGAACTCGTGTGACATGTGGTCCATTGGGAAAGCGTCCTGCAAGTAATCGTTGGTAGCCTCTATAGAAGCTTCATATGAGTGGTCTATAGAGAAGGACTGCTCCATCTGGTCGACATCTTCACTAGGCTCCGGTTCCTGGGATGGTGTGTGAGTTGCAGCTGGCTCACCGGGGGCTTCAGAATGAATGGAGGTTTTGGTTGCGGGATCCTGGCTCACGAACTCACTGTGACTTTCCAAGGTTGCGGATGGAGGCTGGTCTTGATCCTGGGGAGAAGCCTCTGGGCTATGATGTTCGATGGGTGAGCCATGTTCACTAGGCAAAGTTTGCTGATTGTCTTTTTGTTCTTCAACGACCCCACCTTCAGAACCTACAGCTAGGCCAACTACGTTATCCTCAGTCTCCTTGCCAGTGTGATGAGCGGTGTCTTGGTCAGGTTCCTCAACACTAGAACTTTCATCCTCAGCTGAAGAAAGCATCGTTACATCGGGATCTTGGGCTTCTTCAACAGTGCTTAGCGCCTGTGTTGCAGGTACCGCTTGAGCATTTTCGCTGGCTTTCTGGGCATCTCCTGGATTCTGAATTGTTAAGGGGGCACCCGCATCAGAGTTGTCAAATGAAGTGTCTGCAACTGTAGTCGAACCTGATGCCTCTTGCACATCCTTGTCTTCCTCGTCCGGCTGGACTTCAGGTGGTGGGGACGAGATCTCCATAGGGCGCGAAAATCCAGCACCATCCATACCAAAAGTGAAGCGCAAAGGTGCAAAGGCTGACTCATGATTCGGGTGAAATGTGGATACGTTCGAGGAACCAATCGAGCTAAAGAAAGACGTCTCGCCGATGTAGCTTGCTTCGCTTGGTGGTTTCTCCTCTTCTTCACCCTCGGCTTCCGATTCTACAGACTGTTCATTGGCGATGAGTTGATCAAAGTAAGAGGTAGCGGTGGTTTCGCGCTCACCAGGAAACGGTGATGGTATCGGGAGATTGGCCGAGTCCAGAGGTCGAAGAGTTGGGCTTCCAGGCTCTCTACCGATTGGGGTCAACAGAGCAGCAGACACAGCGTTCGGGGTGTCGGTTTGAATAATGGTTAAGGTAGGAGGAGGCATCGCAATTTTTGGAGCGTTGATAAGTGATGCTGGTGATGTCTCCGCATTTTGTTCGTCTGCCTCAGGGACGGACGTGGATGTTGTGGCTTGGTTTGGTTCAACAACCTGTACACGGTCCTCATGTGTGTCGTTCTCTAACTGCGCTTCTGCAACCGCAGCTTCATCGCTGCCTTTAGCTTCACGCTGTACTTGATGAACCTCATCAGTGCTTGGCTCCTTTGTGACTGTGCTGCCCCCCTCGGTCTCCTCTTGGGCAGGATATTCTTCCTCTGTGTTGACTTCAGTGTCTACCTCGGTATCGCCACCAAAAGCGTACTGGGCATCTGATGACAGATGTTCATCTGGAGCCGAGTAGAGCACACTGTAGTCAGACTCGCGAATGACGCTCTCATCTGCATTTTCCTCATCCGATTGCAAGATGGCCTCCTCTGCTGAAACGGGCGCTTCTGTTGGCTTAGCACCTTGAGCACGCAGCGGTTTGGCTGATTTGGATACTGTGGCGGATTTTGAGGGAGAGGTAGGTGTTTGAGGGAGCTGTTCTGGGCGGCTGGGCGATGCCTCAAGCCACTCCATTTCGTCTTCCATGGGAGCATCCTCCTTCTCTGGCGAGGGCGTCCTCGCACTATATGTCCATGCCTTCCAATCTCGATACGATTTCCTCCGTCGCTTTTTGTCGTGGCCTTCGCCTGTCTCGTCGGCCAGGGGATCGTAAGGCGGTTCGAAGAAGGGCTCATCAGATAGGCGCGCGCGCTTCAAGAAGGCAGGAGACGAATATTGTAATGCCGAGCTTGGAGCGGCTCGATATTGTCGGCGGAGTGGTGATGCAGGGGCTAGAGTGGGCGGCGCATCAACGAGCTCGATATTGGCGGTTTCTTCGCCGTTTCGGTAGATGCGAATGACGACTGTTTGAACATATTCCAGCTCCCAATCGATACTCTTTCCGGGCGTGCTGATGGCGCCCTCGGTGACGAATTGCGCGCCTCGCAGGCTCAAGACGACCTCATCGCCGATTCCTACACCTGTTGTCGCAATGGCCTTTGCACTTGCGCCCGAAAAGCGAGCCCTGACCTGACCGTTCCTTCGCCTAAGCCGGAGATCTGGCTCCGCGAGCAGGAGGGCCAGCTGACATGCAGACGACGAGTACGGCCATATCAGAGTGACGGTGGCCCGGAAATGCTGCGATTCCACCGAGGGCAGTTCGGGGCTGAGTTGCGCAATCGGTGTCTGCTCCATGACGCAGGTGAAGAGGCGCAGGTTGTTGTTATGAAAAAGACATTACGTTACAGGGGCGCAGGTGTAACAGCGAACAGACCAAACAATAAAGTATGCGCCGAGTGCTGTTGTCGGTGGATTGACGTCTGAGCAACAAACGGCTACTACCGGCGCGTCGTTCCGAAGACGCGACCTCATCCAGCACCGTTCGCTTTCGATCAACCGAGCACCGCCTGTGTAAAGCAAAAATAGAACAGGAGAGTTGAACACTTTGCAAGATAACCTTACGCAAAAAGTTGTTTCTCCTTGATTTTGAGAATAACAATTTGTCTTTTGACGACAGCAGACTCGATATTCCCGGGTACTCAGTGGAAAATATGCCGTGGAGCATCACGTGACTATCGGCCCCACTATCCAAATGGGCAACAGATGGTTCCGATGTGTTACACAAGAACTGCAAGTGCAGAACTCAAGTTACTAAGTAGGAATAACAACAGCCCCAGCTATGGCTCTGTAAAGCCGATTCAAGTCTGTAAAATGTGTGCCCAATCTCGATCTCCCAAGAACCTAAGCCGAAGATCAAAACTCGCAAAACTGTTTGCAGATCAAATGATTCGTATCTCCAGAAACACATAGGCTCAACAGCACAAGGATTCACACTCACTCACCGTATCATGGAAGCTTAAGTGCATCCTTCAACACCGCCAACGCGCCAAACAAGTCACTATCATGATACCTCCTCGCATTAACCTGCAGCGTAATCGGCGCCCCCTCAAAATTCGACTGCTCCCAAAGTTCCTTGACATGTTTGCACTCCTCACTCAACGGCTTATAATCCGCGGCATATTCCTCCTTTGCCTCAGTCTTTATCGGCGTCGGCACAACAACGCCTGGATAATCCACAAAATTGTAGAGACTAGTATACGTCCAGTAGAAGGCCGAGTCGTGTGCACAAGCTGGGCCTACAAACGCAGGTCCGATAACGATATCGACTTCCTGTTTGTTCCAGCTGTCGGCAAATGCGTAGCGGAACTTGTCACGCTCGGCGCGGAGATCGGTGACTTGAGAGGCATCGAGCATGCCGTGTGGTTTGGCGTCCTTCCAGCCCCATTCTGTTAACTCGAGAATAGGTTCGCCTGATGCTTCGTAGGCCTCTGTTTCCTTTATTCCAGCTCCAGGCCAGTACATGCGTCGGATCATTTTCCATGCTTCTGCTGCGTTGTAAGGTTTGAAGTCTTTGATGTCAAAGATACCAGAGTGTTTTGGATCGGACAGTCGTGATCTAGCCCATGCTATAGCGCGCTTGACAGGAGGCTGGGGCTCGATGAAGCCGTCGTTTTCGATGATACCTATTCGTAATGGCTTTCTGGTTGGAGTTTGCAAGCCCGTCCATGGCAAAGGAACTAGCTTTTGATCTTGAAGCCACGGCTTCTGGCCAATGACGGTATTCATGAACAAGTCTATGTCCCGTAGGCTTCGACTGAACGGGCCAGTGCTGGCTAGGATGTTGAGTTCGGCGGAGAATGGTAACGCAACATAATCCTTTGCTGGAAGTACATACGACGTAGTCTTGTATCCATAGACACCGCAGAACGCCGCAGGACCTCTGATGCTACCGCCAATGTCTGCGCCCACACCAAGAACTGATCCTTTCATGGCCACTAGTGCTGCCTCACCACCTGATGAACCTCCAGCGCTGAGGTCAGTATTGAATGGATTTATAGTGCGACCGTAATGTGATGTAGTTTCTAAATGCATGATTCCCTGTGGCTGGTTTGTCTTGCAGTAAAATACCGCGCCCATACTTCGCAATATGGATACCATGACGCAATCCTTTTCATTGAACTGCGTGCTTGCCATTGATCCACTGGAGGAGTAAGTCGCAGCAATGGGTATATGCTCCTTGATGCTAATTGGTACCCCATGTAAAGGTCCAACTGTCCTTCCGTTCTTCTCCAGATAATCGTCGAGCTCCTGAGCTCTCTTAATTGCGTCGTCCATGAACCATTGTGTCAAGCAGCACGTTAATTGATGCGCAATGATGGCTCGTTTAGAGTAGGCAGTGGCTACTTGAACAGCTGTCAAATTACGGGCAGCGATAGCTTCCGCAAGGCCTACCGCATCGTACTTTTCCGTGATATCGATCTCGGCAGGAGTCAAGATACCACACTCTGCAGGTACACCAGAAACATCCCTTGGCGGGTTTGAGAAGAAATCTGATGATAGCCGCAGTTCTGGAGGCACTTTTTCCGCGAAGGCCTCAAGAAGGGCGGTACGCTTCTTCTCGTATTCCGGTGTACCCTGAAGCAGGGGTTTAGGTTGAAGTATTGCGAGGCGGGAAGGATGACCAGGCATTCTGACGGACAAATAACAGCAAAAAAATAAATACAAAGAGTTCACACTTTCCGTACACGCGATGGGGAATCACAAGCCCCTTATGTGCAATTCGTTAGTCATCTCCGGTGTTAAGCGGAAGCAAGCCGTGCATTAGTTTTATGGTACATCAATCATGCGGATCCAGCACTGGGCAACATGGCGGTCCAATTCTCCAACTGCCGGCACGATACCATGATAGAGAAATCGGGGTCAAGAGCGGAACCATCCCGGTGGCCAGCTGTTCCGTGACAGATAGTCGTAGCCCCGCTTAACCCCCGCTCCCCCGCATGAATCGATACCTTCATCCTTACCACTTTACAAAACGTCTATGTATCATGCCAATCACGAATCAAAATCGTATCAAAGAAACCGGGTAATCTAGCATATAGTTGGACTAACCTGCAGAATGACCTGCTTGTTATCATCAGACTTGCCATTTTCGCGTGGACTTACTGTTTTCTCAACTACACCCCGGCTCGCACGATAGCTACTCAACCGCGTCCTTTGTCATCTGCCTATCACAGCACATTGCTATCTCTCAACTCCTGAAAATCAACTTTCAGGACAAAATCATGGAGGTTGGAGATCATACAGAATCTTATCAAAAGCAAGTTGACGCGATTGAGTAACCTGTCGCACCCTGCACAACCAATGCTCGGATAACCCCACCCGCATACCCCAACATCCATATAATGTTTCCCATCTTCTCCCAATGCCCTAAACGTCTCTTCCCATTTGATTGAGCGATATTGTATTCTTCAAGATGGCAGGCGAATTTAATGATCTTGACGTGAGACCTGTTCCAGGTACCGTTCATTTAGTGGACCTGGACCACAGCATGCGCGCTCGCCATGCTGAAGATGGAGATATTGTTCTGGACCCTGCACCCTCGAGCGACCCGAATGACCCGCTCAATTGGTCTCCACGCCGTAAAGTCATGTCCACTATATGTATCAACCTGTGCGTGCCCACCTGACCAGCTTCTGTAGTCAATTGCTAATGCTTTTCGTGAAGATATACGTGGATGACTGGTATCGCGGTATCAACAGTATATTCTGTATTAGTGCCGCTTTCAAAGGCCTCTGGAGTCTCCGTGTCAACCCTAAATGAAGGCACAGGTTATATGTTTCTGTTTCTTGGGTGGGGACTCCTCTTCTGGCAGCCGTTTGCTTTGCGATATGGAAAACGACTCACTTTTCTGGTATCTGTTTTGGGAGCTATTGGTACCAGCATCTGGAGGTATGAAAACCATGATGTATGCTTCTTTGAACTCACTGACCGTTCCAGCGCCCACGTCAAGAGCAATGGCGAATGGATCGCTCGATGCATCGTAACAGGCTTCTTCGTCGCCCCCGTAGAAGCCCTCCCTGAGATCTCAGTAACTGACGTATACTTCACCCACCAACGCGGGCTCTACATGGGCTACTACGCCCTCTCACTCGCGGGCAGCAACTACTTCGCTCCAATCATCAGCGGATTTATCTCTGAAGGCCAAGGCTGGCAATGGGTCTTCTACTGGCCCGCCATTTTCCTCGGCTGCACCCTCATATTCCTCTTCTTCTGCCTGGAAGAATCAAACTACGTCCGTAAAGTCGACGGGGTACCCATCCAAATACCTAGCTCACAACCACCTCAAAAAGGTGTACCCGACGAAGAAAAAGTCGAAGCAGCAACCAGACAGACGACGGGAAGCGACGAAATTGTAACCTCTTCAAAGACATATATCCAGAAACTTTCTCTCTGGCAGCCGTCCTCAGGCACTAACGTCTTCGAGCGCGCAAAGCGCAGCCTACTATACCTCACCTGGCCCCTGATTTTCTACTCCGGATTCAGCTACGGCTCCTACCTCATCTGGTTCAACGTCCTCAACGCCACGACCTCCATCATCCTCGGAGGCCCAGGCTACAACTTCAAGCCCTCAATGGTCGGTCTCAGCTACGTTTCGTGCTGCATCGGGGTGATCGTTGGCGTCTTTTTCTCCGGCCGATTCAGCGATTGGCTGACTATCAAACTCGCGCGGAAGAACAACGGTATCATGGAAGCGGAGTACAGGCTCTGGCCTTTTGTGCTCTGTCTGGTCATGGTACCTGCTTCCCTGATCCTGTGGGGCGTCGGCGCTGCACATGGGGTGCACTGGTCTGGACTCATGGTTGCAATGGCATGTCTGGCTTTCTCGTCGACGATTGGAGTCACGCTCAGTGTTAACTACATGGTCGATAGTTATCATGATATCAGCGGGGATGCTATTGTTTCGGTTATTCTCGTCCGAAATACCATGTCGTTTGCGATTAGTTATGGGTAAGTCTTTTTTCCTCGTTCATGTCCTGGAAAGTCTGAGAGACGGCGCTGACGAATAGTAGTATCACACCGTGGTTGAGAACCCTCGGATACCAGAACTGCTTCATCTCTGCTGCTTTCATCGGAATGGCTGCTTCGTCAATGTTCCTGGTTGCGATAAAATATGGCAAGGCCATGCGAACCAAGAGTAGCAGTAAATACTACAGCATTGTTAATGCTGAGAAGGCTTCGTTCTGAAAGCTGTATTGTCACAGCAACACAGCAATATTTAGAGTATTTGAAAGTAGAGAATTCAAAGAGGTCAAAAATAAATTGGAATACAATCTCATCAAGGCATAACTAGAAATATACAGAACTTAGCTTATCTTACAAGACCAACAGAGCAAACAGTGCTAAGCCACCAAGCTGGGCCGCCGTCCTAACCGGAACGCTAGCCTTGCCAGCTGCGCCTTCAAACGGCACTAGCGTACTCGAAGGTGCAGCTCCCGCACCGGTACCACTCGGTGACGCACCGGTCGCTGCTGCTGGAGCTCCGCTCACCGAAGCTGAAGATCCAGTTGCTGATGCTGCACCTGCTCGTCCATCCACGTGAAAATAATTCGCCGCAAGAGGAGCGTCCACACCGTTGTCCGACATGAAAGCCTCAATATCGAAGTTGATGCGATTTTGCACATTGGCATAAGTAGATTCAGAAACACTGAGGTTGGAAGGTTGCTTGAACAAGAGCTCGACGTAGCGATGGGGGACTGTGTCGACTGGTGGCGGGTTTGGAGGAAGATATGCTGCTGGGCCTGTTTGGGATGAGGCGAGAAGTCTGGCGGCGCCGCTGAGTTGCTGCCTTGTTGCTCGGAAGCCCGTGTTCATGCAGTGCAAGAGTACGCGGCGTTCTGTGGTGCCGTTTGCTGGTGGGACATCCAGGTCTAGCATGATGAACATGTACTGTTCATTCATGTTGATCAAGGCGCTGGATAAAGCAAGTCTGGGCTGGGTTGCGGCGGCTAGATACATGTCAGACGCTGTTTCTAGGAAACATGGTAAGTAGCACCGAATACTTACCGGCTCTTGGTATCAGTTGGCCTGGGGTATCGATCATTGTGGAGTTGAAAATGACCTCGAGTTTGTTTGCAGCCTCAGGTGTGAAACCAGGCGGTGCCTGCGCCTGTACAAGGCCAGCAATGGCAATGGCCAATATTGATGTGGAGAAAAACATGATGTTTGTGATGCTCGTGATAAATGTGCAAAATCGGAAAACAGTCGTTTGAGCAGGTGAATGGGAATGGTATCTCAGTATGAATGTGGCCCTGCAAGCCTAATGGGAGAATATCTACCTTAATATACAAAACAGGCATACGCGGCCCCAAGGCAAGAATGCAAGAGCTGTGCCACAAGCTGTCGCACCGTGATCAATGCATAGGGCAGATGTTGTGCTCACGAAGGCTGGTTCGCGTATCCTTGAAACGGGTACTGCACGAGGGCCCAGGTGTCGCGTCTTGGCAAAAACCACATTGCATTCCCGAAGTGTATCAAAGAAGCAATAAGCTGTTACCTAATTGGGTAATCTGTTGCTTCTCCTGGTGAGGCGTTCAAGGTAAGAGTCCAAGGCAAATCTTGGCGGTCAGTGCAAAGGCTGGGTCATCGGGGATGCGATAGGATTTACGCCCCGTCATGATCTATGTCAGCTTATCCAAGATTCCGGACCAAGGCCTTGTCCTGAATGGTTGCGCAAGGCTTTGAACCAATATGTGAAGGAGAGACAAGTATCAACATGGCTGGTTGAAAGTTTCTTGGTTCGTTCGGGTCTCCATGAGGCGTCCCGGGACTTGCCTTGGTCAGCTCTTCGGCACATTGATGTGCAGCAATCGGATGCAACATCGACACCCGATGCGGAAAAAAAAACAGGCTAATTCCAGGAAACGGACTGCGTAATCGAGGGCTTTGCCCAAAGATGTGGACACCATGACAATGGGGCTGTGCGATTGGTTTTTTTATGCGGTCATGATCAATTGGAATGCGGCATTCTTGAGCTGAAAGTAAAAGACGTTATCCGGAACCGTACTAGGGACATTCCTAGAGGCGAAGCCAAGGAGTTTGATGATGAAGCTCGCAATGGCATTGTGACTGCAGGTGATAACATCGTACTCCAGGTAATAGTGAGGACAAGGTCAAACGCGCTAGCCGGCACTCACGTGACAGCGCGTACAATGACAGTCTGTGCTTCCTAGCGCCGATGGCGGCCCTGCACCCCTCATGATCACGCAGCCTCCCCATGCTTTCTACGACGATCCACCGCAGCAGGCGGAGCTCACGGAGTCTGCTTTGGAGTTGTAGTAGACGGCGTCTGATGGCCGCTACCGCCTCCACTAAAGCTGAAGCCGCTTCCACTATCAAGTCAACAACTTCACAATGGCCACTTTCCTTCTTCTTGCAATTGCCCAAAGCACAACCCACCACGCTGCGATCATATGGCTTTTCTTCAGATCAACCTGCGCCGCCCTTATGGTGGAGCCACCGCTTTTACCGGGGGCCGGAGGGCAAGGAGATTGAAATCATGTATAGCAAAACGAAAGCAGACTCGGAAGCCATTGCCCAGCGATTTCTCGAGGAGCCTATCATTGGATTCGACATGGAATGGCCTTGGGGGTATTGGGTCGAAGACACTCTGCAAAATAAAATTGGTCTAATTCAGATTGCTTCTGAAGACAAAATCGGGCTGATCCACATCGGACTGCATCCAGGAAAGACAAGTAGCGACATCATTGCGCCTTCATTGAAGAAGATCATTGAGAATCCAAATATCGGAAAGGTGGGGGTCAACATATTGAGAGCTGATTTCTCAAGATTGAGCCGATACTTTGGACTCCAGCCGAAAGGTGCCATTGAATTGAGTCATCTAAACCGGCTTGTGAAGTTCGGGCCTCGCACACCAGAGTATGTAACTGTCAAACTGGTGAGCTTGGCACAACAAGTGGAAGAACAGCTTGGTTTACCACTGTACAAAGGTGATGTGAGGACAAGCAACTGGAGCAAACCGTTGTCAGAAGAGCAGATCGAATATGCAGCCGGAGATGCTTACGCCGGTTTCATGCTTTACAAATGCATGAATGCAAAGAGACTCGCAATGAAGCCGACGCCACCTCCCCCAATATATGCGGAAAGGTACCCAATCGGGAGAGCTTCAAGGGACGATCCAATCATTTTAGATGTTGGAGATGGAACAACTATCACAACAGCAGATTTTTTTGGTGTCAAGCCTGTAAAGAGCAGTGTAGCATCGACAACCTCTAAAGTACTGGCTACAAAAAAGAGCTTAGAGCCTCTTGACGAGACCTCGCAGGCTCTTTATGAAATGCTGCTTGTGCGTCGAGCGCTTCTTGCAGACAAGGGAAAAGTCTCGCCAACGCGTGTAGTTTCGGATGTTTTGCTCAGGGCCATTGCACTGGCACGACCTCTGGATACATCTGCTTTGCTTGCGATCAGAGGTGTGGGGAAGGTTCAACAGCAGAATTACGGAAATGAATGGCTTCAGGCCATTTCGGAATTCCTAACAAAAAACAGTATCGAGAAGCCAGCCAGCACCGACAAACGTTCACCGTCAAAGGAAGAGGATGCTCAAGTTCTCTGCACACCACGCTGCATCCAGGTGGCTCGTCAGGTCTCATCAGACTCGTCTTCGTCCCTTGCTTTCGACGACTCAGCACCAAGGGCGCCTCAACTACATACCGGTTTATCTTTCACTCTAGCCGAGTCCAAGCTTAACACAGATGGCGCCGCCCTGAAAGACGACGAGTCAGATTACGGCTCCAATGATACACTCCTATCTCTAGACTTTGGCAGTCCGAGCAAGCGGCGAGAAAGCTCTGGCACAAAGCGCAAGTGGGCCGAGAGTCCAACAAAGCAGAATCACGTACACCACCATGTTCATGAACCCCATGAGACACCACCGCGCTTTAAATCCTTGCACGACTCAAAATCCGATTCCCTCCTTACTGGCCTTACCCCTCGTGCAAGACAAGAGAGGAACTTTTCCCAAGAACCATCCATATCCCATGCACTTTCCCTTGCAGCAAGCAGAGCAACACCCTCAAAATCGGGGCCTACCATCCGAAAGAGCCCATCCCATACCTCTCCAAGGCAAGCACCATTGATATCGGATTCCGGCCTCAGCCCTTCCTCCCGCATTGCAAAATCCAAACTTCTAGCATTCAGCAAACTCGTCACGAGCAAACTCCCAGAACGCCGGCCACCTACCGCTCCGCCCATCGTCTCGCCACACACGCTCGATCTAATTGTGCGTGCGCGGCCACAGACGCAGGAGGATTTGGAGCGGATACCGGGTGTGGATAGCTTGCTGTTGGCGTGTGAGACGACAGGCATGGATCTGTTGAGGAATGTGATTAAGTTTGTAGGGGCGGAGAAGTTTGGGTAGTACATATGATTCAGTTAGAGTCAATCAGCATTCTGGTATATACATGGTAGATAGGTTTTTAGAAAGAGGGGTTTTTATTCGTCTGTACCCGTATGTTTCTGGCCAAGACTTCTTGGTGACTACTGCCTGGCACTAGATATATCACGACCTTTTGTATGCTGTTTCCTGTTGGTTTCGTCGTTTTGCTTTTCGATTAATCCCCATTGTGGATACAAATTTCGCCCACTACGGCGTGTCTTGTAGTAAGACATCCATCTTTACCTCACAGGAGTACCTCCATATACGGTCGTAGCTCCCAAACTACCTAATCATCCTAAGCACATCGCTACCGGTCTTCTGGGACGTCGGTTATACAATCCTCGGAGGTTTGACCGACGCTACTGCAAATAAGACCAAGAGAATAAAGCACTTACCAGGCCCTGAACTTCGTACTGCTCACGTCAGCCAAACCAAAGAAGAATGGAATGAATTTACTCGTACCAGACGGGCAGATGTTGCGTTTGTAGTGCAGAACTTGGGAATATAGCTGTTATGCCCAGATGGCTCTCATTTCTCGTTCCGCACATCCAGTGGGCAGTGTGCTGCGGCTGCTAATACTTAGTAGGGCGATTCAATTTTGACTTGCTCACCAAGAGGTTCATCGCAATTGATGATTTGGCGGCTACAGCGGAGGACCTCCGACGGTATGAAATGGTCGGCGATCGTGCACAGATCAATGAGGAAAGGTTGTCAGTGACATGCAGCGCAGCGTTGTTTCATCTGGCAATGCTGCTGGGGTCTACCCAGCCCCGTTGGCCGGCCGCTACTCATATATATAAGTATGCTGTAGACTGTGCCACCGGACCCATGAATTCAGATGTTCCATCACTGATCCACCATCAGAGACACTCAACATGGGAGCGGAGGGATTGGGGCTGTACGGCCTATTGACGCTTCCGCACATTGTCGTTGCCATCGTCACGTACTGGATCACCGCTACAGTCTACTACTTTCTCACCGCACCGAAATTACCTGCAGACGTACCATGTATGGGCTACGGGACAGGGTGGATAGGTGGGATTCGCAACTTCTTCGCTGTTACGAAGAGTAAAGAATGGGTGGTTACTGGATACTACCAATACAACCGCAATGACCAGGCTTTTGTGTTGCCCCCCACGCTGGGCATGCCGCCTGAGATTGTCATACCGAAAAGCCAAATGGCATGGATGTTTGACCTATCTGATGAGGTTGCCAGTGCGAGTGAGCCTCACTACGATATGTTTAACGGCGACTGGGTGCTTCTCGACCCCATCATTCTCAAAGACCCCTATCACGAACACGTCATCCACAAGAACATGATCCGCAATCTAAAAACACTTATTCTAGGCCTCAATGACCAGATACCGGGGGCTATTATGGATGTCTTCGGTACTGACACGGAGAGTTGGATGAAGCTGGACGTCATGGGCTCGTTCTCCAAGATAGTCCCCCGTCTATCCAGCTTCCTAACTGTCGGACCCCCTCTATGCCACAATCCCGAGTTTAACAAGGCCGCTCAGGCTTTGACCATGGACATTACACTCATGCAAATCATGGTAGTCCTCACACCCAAAGCAATCCAGCCACTTGCTGGTGCCCTCCTAAGTCTACGCAACAGATACCACTTCAGGCAAGCATCCCGCTTCGCCCTACCCATAATCAAACAGCGCATCGCCGACATCCAAAAGAAGGACGCTGGCCACCCCGACTACACCTCCTGGACCGAACCCCAAGACTTCTTCACATGGTCCTACCGCACCGCGCAA